CAGAGCAGGGTAGAGAAAACTAGATTTGGAGTTGAGAGACCAGCACAGCTTTCAAGGTTCTATATGATCTAGCCCCTGCCTACCTTTCCAGCTTGATCCCCTCCATTCTCCCCATCATGTACTCAATTTCAGTCACACCAGGTTTCTTTTTATTTCCCAAGCACACCAAGCTCATTTCCACCTCTAGGCATCACAACCTGCTGTTCCTTCTACCTAAATCTTCCATTATTTAGGGTATAGCTTAAAGCCACCACTGCAGAGAGGATTTCTCTGACTTCGCCAATCTAAAGAAGCACAACTCTCCCTACTTATGCTCTGTAAAATCCCCCACTTATATCATTTTCATGACATTAATCACTACTTAAAATTATAATTTAAAAAATTGTTTCTTCCCTGAGATACTCTTTAAAATTTAAACTGCAACTAACCCCCTGAGGTCATCCTGTAGCTAAATAACACACTGGCTCACAAAATAATGAATACCACCCATAAGGACTCAGCTACTTAAAAGAAACCACGTATGGCAATCAATGTCACAAAACAATACGTGTGTCAGCTGTTTAACGAGAACTAGTTTGCTCTATAAACCTTTCATCTAAAGTACAATAAAAAAAAATTTTTTTTTTAAATCACCTGTATGAAACCAAACGGTCAACAATTACTTTAAAACAAAGATAAGAATGTAAGGGGGCAGGGAAACTAGATTAACGGAAATGATCAGAATGGAAATATTGAGAATGTTCCCGCACTGTGAAGAATGTGACCAATGTCACTGAACAACTTGTAAAGAAATTGTTAGATGGGAACCTAAGCTGCTGTGTATACCTTCACCGAAAACACAATAAAATATTATTTTAAAAATAATAAGTAAATAAGTTATGCATTTTCTTGTTTGTTTCTTCCATAAAACACGTAGGGAATGTATGTCTTATTCATCCCTGTATCCCTTGGGACCAGAACAGTGCCAGGCATACAGCTCAATAAATGTGTTGAATGAATGAATTTTAGGAAGAGTAAAAACCTCCATACCTTTATTAGACTATGAAGCTGGAAGGAACTTTACCCATCACAGCCCTGTTCCATCATTTGACAGCTGGGAAAATGGAGGGCCAGAAACCTGAAATGATATGCCAAAGGCCACATATTTAGTGAGTGAGCCAGTGAGTTACTAACAGAGATGTCACTTTCTACTTTTCCAAATGCTTTCACATACATCACCTTCTTTTGCTCTCCTACTCTTCTGGTGCAATGGGAGGGGCCTTGAGCAATGGTAACCAGTAAACCAGTTGTCACAGAGTTGATTCTGACTCATGACAACCCCATGTTTGTCAGAGGAGAACTGTGCTCTATAGAGTTTTCAATGGCTGATTTTCACAAGCAGATCACCAGGCCTTTCTTCCGAGGTGCCTCTGGGTGGACTCAAACCTCCAACCTTTGTACCACTCAGGGACTCCAAAACCAGCCACCATCAAGTCAATTCCAACTCACAGTGACCCCACTGTGTCAGAAGAGAACTGTGCTCCACAGGGTTTTCAATTGCTGTGATTTTTTCCAAAGTAAACCCCCAGGACTTTCGTCCAGGCACCTCTCGGTGGACTCGAACTGCCAACCTTTCAGTTAGCAGCTGAGTGCTTAACCATTTGCACCACTCAGGGACTCCTGAGTCAGCTCTGATGTCACATGGATCCTGGCTGAAAGCAGAGAATACCAGAAATATGTTTACTTGTGTTTTATTGACTATGCAAAGGCATTCGACTATGTGGATCATAACAAATTATGGGTAACATTGTGAAGAACAGGAATTCCAGAACACTTAATCATGCTCATGAGGAACCTGTACATAGACCAAGGGAAGTCATTCAAACAGAACAAGGGGATACTGCGTGGTTTAAAGTCAAGAAAGGTGTGTGTCAGGGTTGTATCCTTTCACCACAGTATTTAATCTGTATGCCGAGCAAATAATCTGAGAAGCTGGACTATATGAAGAAGAACGCAGCATCAAGATTGGAGGAAGGCTCATTAACAACCTGCGATATGCAGATGACACAACCTTGCTTGCTGAAAGGGAATAGGATTTGAAGCACTTACTGATAAAGATAAAAAACTATAGCCTTCAGAATGGATTACACCTCAACATAAAGGAAATAAAAATCCTAATAACGAGACCAATAAGCAACATCATGATAAACGGAGAAAAGATTGAAATTGTAAAGGATTTCACTTTACATGGATCCACAATCAATGCCCACGGAAGCAGCAGTCAAGAAATCAAAGGATGTACTGCAATGGGCAAATCTGCTGCAAAAGACCTCTTTAAAGTGTTAAAAAGCAAAGATGTCACTTTGAGGACTAAGCTGCGCCTGACCCAAGCCTTGGTGTTTTCAATCACCTCATATGCATGCGAAAGCTGGACAATGAATAAGGAAGACCAAAGAAGAAGTGATGCCTCTAAATTGTGGTGTTGGTGAAGAATATCAACTATACCATAGACTGTCAGAAAAACGAACAAGTGTCTTGGAAAAAATATAGCCAGAATGTTCCTTAGAAGTGAGGATGGCGAGAATTTGCCTTGCGTACTTTAGACATGTTATCAGAAGGGACCTGTCTCTGGTGAAGGACATCAGGCTTGGTGTCATGAATTGAATTGTGTTCTCCAAAAATATGTGTCAACTTGGCTAGGCCATGATTCCTAGTATTGTGTGGCTGTCCTCCATTTTGTGATCTAATTTTCCTATGTGCTGTGAATTCTAATCTCTGCCTGTGGTTAATGAGGCAAGATTAAAAAAAAAAACCCAAACCAAATCCGTTGCTGTCAAGTCGATTCTAATGCATAGTGACCCTATAGGACAGAGTAGAACTGCCCCATAGGGTTTCCAAGGAGCGACTGGTGGATTCAAACTGCAGAGCTCTTAACCATTAGGCCACCAGGGCGCCTGAGGCAATATTAGGTTATGTTAAAGAGGATTAGGGTAAGATGCAACACCCTTACTCAGGTCACAGCCCTGATCTGATATAAGGGGAGTTTCCCTGGGGTGTGGCCTGCATCACCTTTTATCTTACAAGAGATAAACGGAGAGAGACGTAAACAGAGAGAGAGGGACCTCATACCATGAAGAAAGTAACACCGAGAGCACAGCGCATCCTTTGGACCCGGGGTCCCTGTAATGAGAATGGGAAGACTGATGACAAGGACATTCCCCCAGAACCAACAGAGAGAGAAAGCCTTTCCAGGGAGCTGGCACCCTGAATTTGGACTTCTAGACTCCTAAACTGTGAGAGAATAATATCTTTGTTAAAGCCATCCTCTTGTGGTATTTCTGTCATAGCAGCACTAGATAACTAAGACACTTGATAAAGTAGAGGGTCAGTGAAAAAGAGGAAGACCCTTAAGGAGATAGACTAACACAAGGGCTGCAACAATGGGCTCAAACGTAGCAACAATTGTGAGGATGGCGCAGGACCAGGCAGTGTTTCATTCTGTTGTACACAGGGTCGCTATAAGTCAGAACAACTTGACAGCACCTAACAACAACTACAGGGACTCCTTGGGCAATGGTACCAAAAAGCCCATTGCCATCAAGTTGTTTCTGACTTATAGCAACCCTATAGGACAGAGTACAATTGCCCCATATGGTTTTCAAGGCTGTAAATCTTTACAGAAATAGACGGCCATATCTTTCTCCAGTGGAATGGGCTGGTGGGTTTGAAGTCCTGACCTTTTGGTTAGCAGCCAAAGGCGTAACCATTGCACCACCAAGGCTCCTCGGGCAATGGTAGGGTCTCCGAAATCTCCTTGGGAACCAAAGAGAGAATGGATGAACGACCTCTTCCCACATCCCCAGCAGGGGACCCTAGAAAAGAGCTGTTAACTGGATACTTTCCCACTGTCCAAAGCAGAGAAAATACAGGATACGTGTCCAAAGCTCCAATGAATGGCGAACTGTGCAGAGTTGCTTCCAGGTAGTTAAGGTAGCCCTGTGGTGGACTAACAGTGAAGAGGCAGATCTGGGCTCTGGTATTAAATTGCTGGGTGACCGTGGGCAGCAAATAAGTTACCTGTTCCCTTTGATCCTCTGTCTTCCCATCTGTAAATTGGGTGGAAGTCTTGGGCTAGGATCTTTGAGGTTCTGGGAGATTCACCCACTGACCCAGTTAGCTGTTGGCGGAGTTGCGCGGGTGGGTTTTGAATACTGGAAGGAGAATCTCTTTCAAACCTAGGAATGAATGGATCAAACTGCTAGAAGGGTCAAACTGCCGCAGATGCCAACCTGCTAGAAGAGCCAGGCTTCCCAGGTCACAGGAGGAGGTCGAGGGGTCAAAGGTCGGGTTCCGGTCAAGCAGGAAAGAAACCGGAAGTCCCAGATCCGGTCGGCTCTAAGCCCTGGCCGCCAGCCGCGTGACTAAATCCCCGGAGGCGGAGCTTCGGTCCCGGGAGAGGGAGGAGCCTGGAGCCTCCCAATGGCAGCCCGGGTGTCCCTTCAGCCCAGCCAATCAGCGCCAGGAGACGGTAAAATTTAAACCCCCCTCCCACCTCCTCCGCTGGGACCTGTCCCGAAAGCGCTTGTAGAAAGTGGGACCGCTCGCCCCGCCCCCGGGAGGCGGGGACCAAGGCGGGCTTTACCTCCGAGATCGCCTATCACGGCGGGCAGTCTCCGGAGAGGCGGGTGGCAGCGCCAATCCGTGCCGGCAGATCTATCTTGGGCCGAGCAGTTGGCTACAGTTGTTGCAACTTTTTTCGAAAGCTCCGTTTCCCGGGAGATCCCAGGCAGTGACAGAGCGGGACCATGGCTAGAGGTATTTGCCCAGGGCACTGGCGCCGGGGCGCCCGGGGTGGATCGCCCTGGACGGGGACGGGGGGGCCGAGCGGCGGCGGGAAGCGCCCTCCTGCGGGCGGGGCGGGCGGGGCGCGGGAGTAGGCTGGGGAGGGGCTAACGCGGAGCCACCCCAGCCCCGGCTCCGGGCCCCGCGCCCAGAAGCCCCTCCCACTGCTCTGGCTTGGTTTCCCATTTCTGAAGGCAGCGGATCCATATGTCAAAGCGTTTTGGAAACTCAAGCTCCAAGCGTCTCCGCGGAATAACTGTTATTAATACAAAGGACGGGGTGAGGTTTCGCCCACTTTGGGGGGCTATCCGGGTGGGAAAGGGGGTCACCCAGAGACGAGGGCGCTTTCTGAGCGGCCAGGAGGGGGCTGCAGGTGTCAGCGGTAACCTACATCCTGAGGAGCGCCCTGAGTCAGCTCTGCGCACCGGGGCGGGGGCCCGGCACGATCGCTGGCTCAGTTTGGGGGAAAAGGGGTCCCTGGTACCTCCTGGAGCGGCCCTCGCCCCGCAGCTGGTCAGGACTCCCGTCCTCGGGAGACGCCTTGGGTGGGCTTGTGCAACTACGGAAGGCGGTGTCTGTCCCACAAGTCCTCCTTTGCACACTTACTTTGCTGCCAAGACAGTCAAACCTACATTATGCGGCAAATTGATCTTCAGCGGCGGTCATTTCCAGCCGCTGTGTCTCCTTCATGCTAAAGGGCCAAAAACTGGAGCATGAGGGTTGAGTAGAATTATTATTATTTTGGTAAGTTGGGGTTTTACATTTTTCTCATAATTCCAAGGCATCCCCTGTTAGTAGGAATTTGAGTACAGTATGCTCCCTATAACAATGAATAAAACAAGAATTCATTCAGCAAATATTTATTGGGCCCCTTTGTTTCTCGGCCCAGTATGCATCATTTATTTTCCCAGCATCCCTTTAGGGGCTCTGGGGACAAAACTCCCCAGATGACTGATGAATAAATGAAGCATAGTGAAATTTAGGTTGAGGAGCTTCATAACCCCATCTCCACAGAGCAAATTAAGACTAATAGTTTTCCTCAGAAAAGTGTTAAGCATCTAAGAGTATATTTAATATTATCTGACAAATTGTAATAAAGGTGTGCTTCCCTGGTTCGTTTTCCCTATCACAGGAAAATCATTTAAACTGCCTGTTTCAGGAGTCCTTCTGATGCAGTGGTTAAAGTGCTCGACTGCTAACCGAAAGGTCAGTGGTTCGAAACCACCAGCTGCTCTGAGGGAGAAAGATGTGGCAGTCTGCTTCCGTAAAGATTTACAGCCTTAGAAACCCTGTGAGGTTGCTATGAGTCAGAATCGAACCATGGCAGTTGGTTTTTTGGGGTTTTGGCATTAAACAAACAAAAAAAAAGATAGGTTGCTTTAATTAATCTATAGGGGAAAAGAACTGACCACTTTATCATTGGAATACTTAAAATATGGGCAAATAATAATATCATTGAGGGCACTTTACCATAAAGTAAGTTTCAGTTAACCTTTACAAGTGGTTATTGCCACCTTTCAGAGGTGGAAGCCCAAATCTAAAGTCACCACTGCCCAGAGTCTGGCCGTGCTGTGTCATTGTTTGCCCCACTCTTCCTCCCTTACTTAGCCAAAGCGAAGATAAGTGTTTTCCCAGCTTCAACCATGGCGCATCTACAAGTCATCCTTCTTACAAGCTGGAGTACATCAGTTTGAGGAGGATCAGCCCATCTACTTCTGCTTCTCTCCATGTGTGCTGTCACTGTCGAACGGCCTCCCTAATTGGCCTCCCTCCTTCTACTTTTACCATCTCCAGTTCATTATCCCTTAGTGGTCCCCAAGACCACACATTTTTACACATGACCTTCCCTACTTCCTCCACTCCCACCAGACCTCCCCATTGCTCTTAGGATCAAGTCCACAATCTTCACCATGGCCTATAGGCCCTACGGACCCTTCTGCCTGCTTGTGCCCCACGTATCTCCCTTAGGTTCACTGCTGGAACAAAGTAGCTATTCAACAAATGTTTGTTGAATGAATAAATTGTACTTTAGTGTCTGAATTCAAGGGAAGCAATATACCTTCTTTATGATAAAGTACCCTCATGTGGCAGAACCTGAGCCTCAATTTCGACATCTGTAAGTTAGAAATATTCCACATCTGTTAGGAATAATTGTACCAATCTTGTAAGTTGTTGGGAGGACTGAATCAAATTAAACAGTGCATTAGTGCAGGGCCTAACAGATAGTAAGTATTCAGTAAGGGTTAGCTGTTAGAATTCTTGTTGAATTCTATTTCTTTGAGATCTTAAGTGATATTAAGAGTCTTCATTGTATTTGTTGCTCAGTGTTTTTGTTGTGTACATATAAACACCTCGTGTGCAGAGAAAGGAAGGACTGCTTTGACGTTTATACTGAATGATTTGTGTTTACATCTTCCAGGAGCTGGAGCTGCAGAGGTGAGGGTAATGGGTGCTAGACTTATGTTTTAAGGTATCCCCGGCATTTGGGGGTTGACATGCAGAGAAAGCTGAGGCCCTGACTATGTGGAGAGGAGGCAGTGTTAAGATAGTATGTGAAGTAGGCCAGATGCCCTGTTGGCTGTGTCCTGCTCCCAGACCATGATGCCCGTGGTAGTTTAGCATCAGTGCTCTGCTGTGCAGATGTGAAAGATGCTGTTTCCGACAGCTCAGGTCGCTGTCAGAGTGTCACTGTAGGATCCTGTCTTACCCTCTGGGTGGCCTTCTGGGTATTCAGGTGTGGTGGGCTCTTTGGAAGGCCTGGCCAGAATAGGCTCACCCACTAGAGTTAGTGGCTGGGGTGGCGGTGGACGGGTGGGGGAGTATCCCCAGGCGTCATCTGAAGAACGAGAAAGCATGAGCTGATTTGGGAGGCAATGTTCTATCCTTTAAGCCTCCTCTGTATTATCGCTTCTAAGGTGAGGGAAGGTAGGGCGGCCTCTCTTAAATGGAACGCTCTTTTTTTTTTTAATCTATGGATGTTGGAAGGTGTCTAGGGAGGCTGTGGAATTCAAGTTTCTTGGTTTTTTCCCCTGAGGACACTGAGGCCCAGACTGGGGGAGTGATTTGGCTGGGGTCACAAAGACCTCTGGCATACATGCAGGGAGAGAAACTCAGTCCCTGCCCCCAAGCCAGTACCCAGGCAACAGGAGCCAGCGGCCCAAGGTGCCTTGTTTGCATCTATGACTCTGCACAAATGCAGCAAATCCTTGGCCCAGGGCCCTCACACCCCAATGGTTGGAGCCCAGCGACACAGGCCAGGTAGGAATGCTGAGCCAGCCACCAGAGAGCCTGGAACCCCTGTCTACCAGGACATTTTCTCATGGGGACAGGAGAACCAAGTGACTTGCCAAACCGTTCCGCATCGCCGTTTGCCCCTCCCAACCTCCATTTCCTCATCTGTAACGGAGCGGTAGTGGTTGAGAGTGCAGGCTCTGGGGTCTGTTGGCCTAGGCTGGAAATCCATTTGGCCAAGCTCCTCGCTTCTCTGAGCTCCAGTCTCCCAATCTGTGGAAACGAGACGATAGTGGTGTCTACCTTCATAGGGCTGTTGGGAGGCTAGGATGAGATAACTTAAGTAAGGGAAGCAGGCAGCAAACTTGTGTTGCAGCCAACGTCTGACTGTCTCCTCCGGGCCTGGTACGGATCAGGGCTGCGGAGCCAGACCCCCTGGGTGTGACACCTTCTCAGAATCCCCGTCTTAAAGGGCCATCCGAGAGGACCTGAGCCCCCTGGGCTTTGAGGAGGGTCAGATGCCTATACAAACGCTCCGGGAGCACAGCTCTGGGCACTTGGGGAGGGGCGGTCCCGCTCAGCGCTGCCGCTGGCCCCTGGCACTGACACGGCTCCGAAAACACCGGTGGAGCGGGCGGAGGCGGAGCCGGCGGCCGGAGCCGGGCTGTCATTACTATGTGTCCCACCCCCTGCTCCCGGAGTGGCTGGGGCGCGGCGCGAGGGGCGCGCCCGAGCGGGGATTCGCTGTGGCCGGCCG